GTATGTTCTGCAGCTTATACCGCCCCAGGTGTTGAGACTGACGGGAGTAACAAGGATGTGCACCAGTAGTGGATGTGTATGTTCTGCAGCTGTTATACATCAGGTGTTGAGACTAACGGGAATAACAAGGATGTGCACCAGTTGTGGATGTGTATGTTCTGTAGCTGTTATACATCGGGTGTTGAGACTGACGGGAATAACAAGGATGTGCACCAGTAGTGGATGTGTATGTTCTGCAGCTGTTATACATCAGGTGTTGAGACTGACGGGAATAACAAGGATGTGCACCAGTAGTGGATGTGTATGTTCTGCAGCTGTTATACATCAGGTGTTGAGACAGACAGGAGTAACAAGGATGTGCACCAGTAATGGATGTGTATGTTCTGCAGCTTATACCGCCCCAGGTGTTGAGACTGACGGGAGTAACAAGGATGTGCACCAGTAGTGGATGTGTATGTTCTGCAGCTGTTATACATCAGGTGTTGAGACTAACGGGAGTAACAAGGATGTGCACCAGTTGTGGATGTGTATGTTCTGTAGCTGTTATACATCGGGTGTTGAGACTGACGGGAATAACAAGGATGTGCACCAGTAGTGGATGTGTATGTTCTGCAGCTGTTATACATCAGGTGTTGAGACTGACGGGAATAACAAGGATGTGCACCAGTAGTGGATGTGTATGTTCTGCAGCTGTTATACATCAGGTGTTGAGACTGACGGCAGTAACAAGGATGTGCACCAGTAGTGGATGTGTATGTTCTGCAGCTGTTATACATCAGGTGTTGAGACTAACGGGAGTAACAAGGATGTGCACCAGTAGTGGATGTGTATGTTCTGCAGCTGTTATACATCAGGTGTTGAGACTAACGGGAATAACAAGGATGTGCACCAGTAGTGGATGTGTATGTTCTGCAGCTGTTATACATCAGGTGTTGAGACTAACGGGAGTAACAAGGATGTGCACCAGTAGTGGATGTGTATGTTCTGCAGCTTATACCGCCCCAGGTGTTGAGACTGACGGGAGTAACAAGGATGTGCACCAGTAGTGGATGTGTATGTTCTGCAGCTGTTATACATCAGGTGTTGAGACTGACGGGAGTAACAAGGATGTGCACCAGTAGTGGATGTGTATGTTCTGCAGCTGTTATACATCAGGTGTTGAGACTAACGGGAGTAACAAGGATGTGCACCAGTAGTGGATGTGTATGTTCTGCAGCTGTTATACATCAGGTGTTGAGACTAACGGGAGTAACAAGGATGTGCACCAGTAGTGGATGTGTATGTTCTGCAGCTGTTATACATCAGGTGTTGAGACTGACGGCAGTAACAAGGATGTGCACCAGTAGTGGATGTGTATGTTCTGCAGCTGTTATACATCAGGTGTTGAGACTAACGGGAGTAACAAGGATGTGCACCAGTAGTGGATGTGTATGTTCTGCAGCTGTTATACATCAGGTGTTGAGACTAACGGGAATAACAAGGATGTGCACCAGTAGTGGATGTGTATGTTCTGCAGCTGTTATACATCAGGTGTTGAGACTAACGGGAGTAACAAGGATGTGCACCAGTAGTGGATGTGTATGTTCTGCAGCTTATACCGCCCCAGGTGTTGAGACTGACGGGAGTAACAAGGATGTGCACCAGTAGTGGATGTGTATGTTCTGCAGCTGTTATACATCAGGTGTTGAGACTGACGGGAGTAACAAGGATGTGCACCAGTAGTGGATGTGTATGTTCTGCAGCTGTTATACATCAGGTGTTGAGACTAACGGGAGTAACAAGGATGTGCACCAGTAGTGGATGTGTATGTTCTGCAGCTGTTATACATCAGGTGTTGAGACTAACGGGAGTAACAAGGATGTGCACCAGTAGTGGATGTGTATGTTCTGCAGCTGTTATACATCAGGTGTTGAGACTAACGGGAGTAACAAGGATGTGCACCAGTAGTGGATGTGTATGTTCTGCAGCTGTTATACATCAGGTGTTGAGATAGCTAGGTACAGACAGGATGTGCAATGCCCAGATGACCACATATGCACTGAGCCCGGCAGCTAGGTACAGACAGGATGTGCAATACCCAGATGACCACATGTGCACTGAGCCCGGCAGCTAGGTACAGACAGGATGTGCAATACCCAGATGACCACATGTGCACTGAGCCCGGCAGCTAGGTACAGACAGGATGTGCAATACCCAGATGACCACATGTGCAGTGAATCCGGCACCTAGGTACAGACAGGATGTGCAATACCCAGATGACCACATATGCAGTGAGCCCGGCAGCTAGGTACAGATAGGATGTGCAATACCCAGATGACCACATGTGCAGTGAATCCGGCAGCTAGGTACAGACAGGATGTGCAATACCCAGATGACCACATGTGCAGTGAATCCGGCAGCTAGGTACAGACAGAATGTGCAATACCTAGATGACCACATGTGCAGTGAATCCGGCACCTAGGTACAGACAGGATGTGCAATACCCAGATGACCACATGTGCACTGAGCCCGGCAGCTAGGTACAGACAGGATGTGCAATACCCAGATGACCACATGTGCAGTGAGTGAGTCCGGCAGCTAGGTACAGACAGGATGTGTAATACCCAGATGACCACATGTGCAGTGAATCCGGCACCTAGGTACAGACAGGATGTGCAATACCCAGATGACCACATGTGCAGTGAATCCGGCACCTAGGTACAGACAGGATGTGTAATACCCAGATGACCACATGTGCACTGAGCCCGGGCTTGTCGTAAGAGGCGACTAACGTGATTGAGTGGTCAGGCTCGCTGACTTGGTTGATGCAATCCCAGACATGATTCTTTACGGACCGCCGTCATAAAGCTGGAATATTGTTGAGTGCGACCTTAAACAACAAACAAACCACCGAGTGGGGCCGAGGACATAGGAACGGAGTTCGTTCTTCTGCCCGCCGCCCAGAGAAATGAAACTTTTCACACTGATGTAACTGGTCATGATCTCAAATGAGTACGAAAATTGGTGTATTTTATTGTTTTACAGACTTCCAGCCCGTGCGTTTCAACTTAGTGCATACTGCGTGCATACTTAGTGCATACTGCGTGCATACTTCGTGCACACTGCGTTCATACTGCGTGCATACTGCGTGAAATGGGGGACACGTTTTCTGAGAAACTACTGAAGTTACATAGATGAAAGTTTGCACGTCTATCTAAGAGATACTTGTGAAGACTGAGTTCGAAAATTGGTTCAACTGATTATTTTTCCCAGAGGAGGTGGCCTTTTGTGGGTATCACTTTCACATATAATAATTGTTTCTGATGACATAAAGCGACCCTAGTACCCTCTCTTCTTCAGTGAGTGAGTGAGTGATTATGGTTTAACGCCGCTGTTAGCAATATTCCAGCAATATCACGGCGGGGGACACCAGAAATGGGCTTCACACATTGTACCCCTGTCAAGTAACGAACCCGGGTCTTCGTAAGGAATTTTTTGTAAGGAAATATTCGTAAAACACCCCAATAATCACCTTGCTCAAATACAACTTTAGAAAAGAGAGGCGGGCGGCGTCACGTGACTAATTCACAAGAAAATATAAATCAAACAACACGATGATGCACATTCAGTTCGCTTATAGTTTAGTGTCTGTCATTTCTTCCCCAAAATACAATACTCAAACCTACTTGAGCTATATTTCCAAAACTGCATAACAGCGTTAGGAATTGGCACTAGTCTGGTAGTCTTTACCAAACTGCCCAATAGTTATGGTATCGTAAGGACTAGTAGAAATTTGACAATTTTAAGGGTTTTGCTATATGCTATCATTATAAGGACTAGTGGAGTAAAACTGTTAGTTTCTATTGCTGCATAACCCTGTAAACATCGCGAAATCCACAGTACATACAGTGTTAAGGATCTAGATCGAATTTGGGGAATGTTGTGTTTTGTCAGTTTGGAGACAAGTTAAAATTAGCATTTCTTATTTATTTTGATGAATAAAAAATTGAGTTCGATGCCCGAGATACTAAATAACGTAATTTGTATAACTGAAACGGCGCGCGTGATCACGTGGCACGTGCTGTTAAGACGATGGCGATAACTGGTAATCGACGTGAAAGTTTAATTGCCACTGTTTTGATTCTCCATCGTACCGTTACAACAGAAATCAAGTGAATCATATTCCTATGATAGCAATAAGTGCATTTGCTAATAGTTTTCACCAAAATTATAATTACAGTAAAATTTGTACAAGGAATAATTCAGAAATAAATGTACCATGGAAATAATGGCGATGACTGATCGGTGAAGGCAGTCAGCGCTAGTTCATGTTATTTTATTTGGTTTCACTGTGTGAAGAAATAAGAACGTTGTTACACTTTTGATACAATGTTACGATTTGGAAACTGCGACTGACCGCCAGGCACCATGAGGGATTAACACACGCTCATGATATAGACGGAAGTGTAAAATCGACAGCGATTTCTTATGATTACGGAAAAGGCTTTGACGCTTTTATTTAAAAAAAATTCAAACAGCAATAATTTGCACATTAAAAGTAACACCATAGAAATAGATGTATATATCTGCCTTTGTTAGACTATATCTACTACAAAGTCCATGTGTTGTATGCTTATGCCATGAAGCCTGCTTTGTGCCGCCCTGTTTTGGCAGAGAAAACAGCCGGTCACTTTGGTGCACGACCTTCACCGCAATGCCGTGACGTCATGGACAGTGTGACGTCACCGCCATTGTACATTTGGCGCCACGTCAGATGGGCGAACCTCGGCTCAGTCTGAGGTCACAGAGTGCAGCGAGACGTAAACAAAGTTTGTCGTGTGTTCCATTTTTAATTATAAACTTGTGACACACAATTTACACAGACTAATTATAGTACGAGATGCTGTGTTCACATAATAATCACACATCATCAATATTTACACTCAGTTAAGTGAGGCAACAATTTTCTTACCTGATCATGCGAAGTTCAAAACACAACAAATGAAAAAAATATCTAAAAATATTTTCAACAAGTTTTATTTCTCCTCAAACACAACAAACATTCTCACCAAATCCGGGAATATATAACACGACGACGTGCACGGCACACCACGTCACTGTCTGTATCAACATGTCCCCCTCCACCGTCTACACAAACACGACACTGACGTCACTGAGCGCCGCGGGACACGAGCAGTTCCAACACCACTCGCTGATGTCCCCAGAATCTCGCCATGTCTGCCGCTGTCTCCCCCGAGATGTTCCTGGCGTCGATGTCCACCACGTGCAGAGACAGCACATACTTCACCGTCTCCACATCTCCTCCCATACATGCGAGGTGAAGGATGTTGTTACCGACCATGTCCACCAGTGACACATCAGCCCCTTCACTCACCAGGAGCTCCACCACGTCTCTGTGTCCCTCCTCTGCTGCCTCCATCACCGGTGTCAAGCTGCTCCCTCCTCTACTGTTGATGTCCACCACGTTCAGAGACAGCACGTACTTCACTGTCTCCATGTCTCCTCCCAGACAGGCGAGGTGAAGTGTGTTGTAACCGCGATCGCTCACCAGTGACACATCAGCCCCTTCACTCACCAGGAGCTCCACCACCTCTCTGTGTCCCTTGTATGCTGCCCACATCACCGGTGTCCAGCTCCTCCCTCCTCTACTGTTGATGTCCACCACGTGCAGAGACAGCACATACTTCACCGTCTCCACATCTCCTCTCATACAGGCACAGTGAAGGGTGTTGCCACCGACCTCGTCCACCAGTGACACATCGGCCCCTTCACTCACAAGGAGCTTCACCACGTCTCTGTGTCCCTTGTATGCTGCCTTCATCACCGGTGTCTGGCTCCACTCTCCTCTACTGTTGATGTCGACTCCCGGTGTAGTCAGGAGCTGCTTCACCTCCTCCAGGTCCCCGGCCCAGCTGGCGTGGTAGAGGTCGCGGTCTGCTTGTGATGGAGTCGCTGTAACACAAAGTAACACTCTGTACACATCCAGACATCTTCGTCATACATCTACTGCGTTCACACCTCGAAGTGTTGATACGAGGCTGAAACACAGAATATGTTGTTTAGAAAACTATATATAGAGGTCTAGCACATAAGCATTATATATATTGGCCACAGACCAGTTATTGCCATTCCACAAATTTGAAGCCTTTTGAAACGTTTACTACAGAACTAGATTTGAAATACGTTTATTATAGCAAAAGTGTAAATATATAGTTTTGTGATTGTCAAATAGATTAAATGACTCTCATAAAAATACAACACAAGTATAGACTGTTGTTCATCTCTCTGGCGTGTCATTACACCTGCTTGTTGAATTGATCTTTATGAAAAAAATGATGATACTATTAGTGCAATTGTTGATTTGTTGATAAATTAATAGGATAAAACATGTATCAAATTGCAGAGACTGTTTATAGGACATTTTCGGAGTAGAATCCCCCTAGCCTTGGCTGACATGATGATCTTACCAAATATCATACAAAGTTGGACAATGATACGATCTACCACATGCTGGGTTCCCCCACCTACCGTGTCGATCAGAATCTTGTCCCTTCACAAGTGGGTTCAAACTCGGATCACTCGAGGCTGAAACAGAATATGGTGGTCAGAAAACTATATATAGCATCGGAAAAGCATAATCAATACTGGCCTCAGATAACTTATTGCCATTCGACAAATATTTTGCCCCTTAAAATGTTCGCTCATGAATGTGTTTGTAGCAAAGGTTTAAATATTAGGTAGGTCTAGTTCAGTGATTGGTAAATGGCTATAAATGATTTGTTTGTTTGTTGTTTACTCAGCAATATTTCAGGTATGTGACAGCGGTCAGTAAATAAACGAGGCTGGACCAGACCATGGAGCGACTGACATCATGAGCATCGTTCCAAGCAATCGGGATGCGATGACATGCATCAACCAAATTTGTAAATGACATAATATAGAGTAACACGGGATTAATAAATATGGACCTGCTCAGAAGCCGATATTCGGCAGCAAATGTCAGTAAAGATTCCCAAATCGGAATAAAAACATTCCCGATCCATGTTAATATATCTATAACTAATTCGTCTAAACGTACAGCTTTGTAGGGGTAAGCAGTATTCCACTGATACCAGGACAACACACAGGAAGAGTTTTAATGCTTTGTTTTATATTATTACACTGATTCTACAATTGTTAAATACAACGTTACAACAAAACAACTGAATTTAAGAAATTAAGAACTTAATAATCCAAAGTTTGAACGAAATAACACTTTGTTCCCAATCCGTCTTAATTTAGAATCCTGGATAAATACCTCGTACAACACACCGAGATTGTTGCCCATCTGCCCCGTGTGTCTTTAATTTTACAACAGAAATAAACTGAAAGTCAAAATTACACGAAGTTTATATTATGAGGTCTGATTGAAAATTAAAAGAACTGATTCTTGATACGAGAAACTTGATAATGTCTTTCTAACAATCACAGTTTCCTGCAACAGTTTGTCAAACAGAATCTGTGGTTGGGTTGTTTTGTGTATAAATGAATTGGTTCAATGAAAACAGGGGTAAGGAATGAATTTGAAACGACATGACAGACTCCTACCATGTTTGAAGATAAGATGTCTAAGTAACACATCAGCAGTTTGGGGAAATCTGATTTGGAATGTTTTAAAAATAATATAGATCTATATGTGTAGAAGCATTCTAAATTGCTGACTATTAAAGCGTTAGTACAATATCTCTACCTTGAGATAATTTCTATTGAAAATCAAGCATATGATAAAATCATTAATCAGATGTATAGTTGCCAGGTGTTTGTTGTCTATGGGAATCAGTGCACACCGTTATAGATTTTGACCAGAACGGACTGGCGCCCACCAGTGTAGTAATAAATTTGTCGTACATTTCAACGTCTGTCTTAATCAGAAGATAATGTTCATTCAGAGACTCTAACTTAATGCTGCATTATGTATACTGAAATTGTTGCAATTAGATCTATTTTCGTCTAAGGCGATACCTCTGCCATGTCTATGAAAACACTGCCATAATTTCAATCGAGAGGTTTCTATTTTCTAAGGACACAAATAATCGTCCTGTTGGCAAGGGAGCATTAGGTATGTAATAAAAATAATTATTTTACGTTTGATGCGGCGTTTACTCAGGGCATAATTTTACATCGTTTGGTGTGTCAGGTTGCAGTGTTTATGGTATTTTTGGTAATTCCTTAAATTCAAATGTCGACATACGTCCTGAAACAGATTGATATTTCAGGTTTGACAATGAAATGATAAAGCAATGCGAAGAGCAACAGGTCTACTTGACTCGGAGCTTGTGCAACACAGTTGTAATTCTATGTCGGGCAAACTTTCCTATGTAGCACTGTCATAATTTACATGTACCGAGCGATGGCGGTATTACAATCATCTCAGATCAGCTTACTATCTGAGGCCGAAACTGCAGCCGACACAACAGTACTTCATGTGTTAGACGGTGTTTGGTTTGATAAAGAACAAGGGTACAAACATGTGACAAAATAAGGTGACAAAGAGTGATAAAATCGAACAAGCCTGTTGGTTAAAACGCCATTTATAAATGTTTACATCCAGACGTTTGTTTCTCCCCGGTGACAGGCTAAACAACTGTCTTGGTGTAAACACTGTGTGAAGCAAGCACCTGATTCCTACAACATTCATTCTGCTGTACATCAATATTGCTATATTTACAATTTCTGTTTCATCTAATTTCCTAAACGTAGAAACTGATGACTTACCCACCGATTACGTCCTAACACAAGTGACACACCTCACTGCCGGTCATGAAATGCCTTGACCGGCGACACTACGGCCGCCAAGGTGCGACCTATGACGTCATTGTGACGTGTCTGGCTAGGAGCATGGCATAGTTTGGCGCTCGACTGTTTGTACAGATCAAGCGCTAGTTGACCTAGGCCCAAACCTTACACCAGCCAAACCAGCCGCCACTTTAAGATAGATTTAATAATGACGACATTGAATCCTTAAACTTACATATCACAGGGAATGAAAATTAAGTGAACATGAATAATATTCTTAATTGTATTGTGTAAACATTACAGGAGCGTCGATCATTGGCTGACAGCTAAATAATATGTAAACTGGCCTCATTTTGATTCAAATTGCTGGCTACGATCTACATTAAGCCTACTGCATTGGTTTACCAAATTTACCACTGTGCATCTTTATTTTAGTAAATAATAATGTGATTAAATGACGCCTTTCGTAAAGAGAATACCTACGCTTAGATTATATTCACAAGGGTTATTTGTTATTCATAATAGCAATAGCTATACTTTATAGGAACATTGGTGTGAAAAATATTGAATTCATTTTGTGTAAAGAAATAATAACGTGGACATTAATTGAGGAAGATGAAGTAAATCATGGTCTGACTTTATAGTGAGTGAGTGAGTGAGTGAGTGAGTGAGTGAGTGAGTGAGTTCAATCTGAACGCGAGTGGGAGTGCGTGCGCGAGTGGGAGAATTCAATCTGAGGCCGTATCGGAAATATATAAGCCACATAACGGCGAGGGAGAATGCTGTTTGGTTTTGAGGATACAAATACGTGGTTATGAAGATTTGTTATAGAGGCGAAATGTTACATCAACGCTGTACTTCATTGTGGTGGTTATGTTAAAGAAAAGTCGGATATGTTGACCTGACACAATGTTATTTTTGTGTTACATTGTTTTTGGTGTACATGGCGGGAGAGGCGTGGTCAGTACTGGCCAATCACAAATCAACTTCCAGGTAACGAGGCGGAGTTTCATAAATGTGCAGCTATACAGATATATTTGCACACTTCGTCTCTATCTACTCACTGTCAACACTGGAGTGGGTCAATGTACATGCCACCTCTATCAACTCACTGTCATAACTGGAGTGAGTCAATGTACATGTCACCTCTATCTACTCACTGTCAGCACTGGAGTGAGTCAATGTACATGTCATCTCTATCCACTCACTGTCAACACTGGAATGTCATCTCTATCTACTCACTGTCAACACTGGAGTGAGTCTATGTACATGTCACCTCTATCTACTCACTGTCAACACTGGAGTGAGTCAAGGTACATGTCACCTCTATCCACTCACTGTTAACACTGGATTGAGTCTATGTACATGTCACCTCTATCTACTCACTGTCAACACTGGAGTGAGTCAATGTACATGTCACCTCTATCCACTCACTGTTAACACTGGATTGAGTCTATGTACATGTCCCCTCTATCCACTCACTGTCATAACTGGAGTGTGTCAATGAACATGTCATCTCTATCTACTCACTGTCAACACTGGAGTGAGTCTATGTACATGTCACCTCTATCTACTCACTGTCAACACTGGAGTGAGTCAATGAACATGTTACCCCTGTCTACTCACTCTCAACACTAGAGTGAGTCAATGTACATGCCACCTCTATCCACTCGCTGTCATAACTGGAGTGTGCCAATGAACATGTCACCTATTTCTACTCACTGTCAACACTGGAGTGAGTCTATGTACATGTCACCTCTATCTACTCACTGTCAACACTGGAGTGAGTCTATGTACATGTCACCTCTATCTACTCACTGTCAACACTGGAGTGAGTCTATGTACATGTCACCTCTATCTACTCACTGTCAACACTGGAGTGAGTCAATGAACATGTTACCCCTGTCTACTCACTGTCAACACTAGAGTGAGTCAATGTACATGCCACCTCTATCCACTCACTGTCAACACTAGAGTGAGTTTATGTACATGTCACCTCTATCTTCTCACTGTCAACACTGGAGTGAGTCTATGTACATGTCACCTCTATCTACTCACTGTCAACACTGGAGTGAGTCTATGTACATGTCACCTCTATCTACTCACTGTCAACACTGGAGTGAGTCAAGGTACATGTCACCTCTATCCACTCACTGTCATAACTGGAATGTGTGAATGTATATGTCGCCTCTATCTACTTACTGTCAGCACTGGGGTGAGTCTATGTACATGGCACCTCTATCTACTCACTGTCAACACTGAAGTGAGTCTATGTACATGTCACCTCTATCCACTCACTGTCAACACTGAAGTGAGTCAATGTACATGTCAAGTATATCTACTCACTGTCATCAATGGAGTGAGTGAATGCAAATGTCAACTCTATCTACTCACTGTCAACACGTGAGTGAGTCAAGGTACATGCCACCTCTATCCACTCACTGTCATAACTGGAGTGTGTCTATGTACATGTCACCTCTATCTACTCACTGTCAGCACTGGGGTAAGTCAATGTACATGTCATCTCTAACTACTCATTGTCAACACTGGAGTGAGTCTATGTACATGTCACCTCTATCCACTCACTGTCAACACTAGAGTGAGTCTATGTACGTGTCAAGTATATCTACTCACTGTCATCAATGGAGTGAGTGAATGCAAATGTCAACTCTATCTACTCACTGTCAACACTGGAGTGAGTCAAGGTACATGCCACCTCTATCCACTCACTGTCATAACTGGAGTGTGTCAATGTACATGTCACCTCTATCTACTCACTGTCAGCACTGGGGTGAGTCAATGTACATGTCGCCTCTATCTACTCATTGTCAGCACTGGGGTGAGTCTATGTACATGTCACCTCTATCCACTCACTGTCAACACTGAAGTGAGTCAATGTACATGTCAAGTATATCTACTCACTGTCAACACTAGAGTGAGTCTATGTACGTGTCAAGTATATCTACTCACTGTCAACAATGGAGTGAGTGAATGCAAATGTCAACTCTATCCACTCACTGTCAACACTGAAGTGAGTGTATGTACATGTCACCTCTATCCACTCACTGTCAACACTGAAGTGAGTCAATGTACATGTCAAGTATATCTACTCACTGTCAACACTAGAGTGAGTCTATGTACGTGTCAAGTATATCTCCTCACTGTCAACACTGGAGTGAGTGAATGCAAATGTCAAGTCCATCTACTCTCTGTCAACACTGGAGTGATGGCTGTAACGTTTGATAATGTTCAACTAACTGAGCGGGTTTGATACCCGAACACGCTTGTCTCATCTATCAACTAAGTTATTACCGAAAAAAATGAACATGTAGTTCAGTTAAGTCATTTAAATAATTGGACGTTTTAAGTTCAGTACATATCAAACCACAAAATTTCATTTCAAATAAAATTTAATATCCACGTTCTCCTCCAAAAGTGGTCCTTGCAAAACTGAAGGGTCAATGCATATCCGATGGAGGTGCCACATGCAAGTGGGATTCCTTCGTTGTCTGTGGTTCCAGATTGGACTGAGCATGCCCGTCTGGTAGGTGGGACCGATCTTTGTTTTCACACAGGTTGTGTAGTGCGACAGCTGCAGCCACAAGGATCAACCGTCTTGAGGACTCGCCTCCATCCCCTTGGACCACCTGAATCCGTTCGCATTCGTCATGCGGGCACTGCTTAGACGGTAGTTGCAGTATGATCGTTCTGCTGTAAACTGTCCTCTATTGGTAAGTGGTTACAGGAGCCAGGAGGACAATAGGTAGGCTTTGAGTCGTATTTATCATCACACACAGTACCACTCGTTTCTGTTCACAAAGTCAGCATGACAATCATTTAGAGCAATAATGGGAACATTTGTAGCATATATTGCTTCTGCACAGTTCGAAAAGTTCCATTTGTCTTTGTAACCATCTGTTGCCACCTTCAAGGCTTCACCACATGGACCATCCTCTGATATATGTCGTCGCACACACTGTTGACCTGGCTATTCCAAACAAGTTACCAATAGTTCGGCCAAGAAGTACACACCTACAGCAATGCCATGTTCAGGGGTCAATGACTCTCTAACGTCTGAAGACCGCCTCCGTGGTCTTGTGGTAGAGCGTCCGCCCGGAGAGCGGAAGGTCCAGGGTTCAATCCCGGGCCGCGTCATACAAAAAGACGTTAAAAGATTGTACTTGTTGTTACCCTGTCTGGCGCTCGGCATTAAGGGGCTAAAACAAGGACTGGTCGGCTCGGAGTCAGTATACTGTGTCTGAGTGGGGTATTCATGTTAAACTGCGGCATGGTATCTCAGTGAGCTAGCACTATAAATCGGCATCAGTCCGGACTAGTACAAGCAGCCACACACACACATACACGTGCATGCACGTCGCTATATAAGTGCAATAATCTTGGACGCGACGTTAAACCCAATTTCACCTCACCTCACCTCTAACGTCTGATGAACGGTGCTAATGTGGCTCAAATTGTAGGCAGATCATTTTAAAAAACGCTTTTAAATGTTTTTAAAACAATATCGCTCCACCAGATTTTGCATTTTTCCTTCATCAAAATTAATCTTTCTTGTAGAAAAGACGAGTTTCTCGCCAAAGCAAACGCCTGTATCAAACAGCGCCTTCTCCTTCTCCAAGCACTAAATCTTAACCCCTCCACTGACTCAAATGAAGTCAATTGATTGATATTATAATGACTACCCTAAACAGTAAACCAGTGTATATAAACACAACCACTTTTCACCCTTTGTCCACGTGGATATTTTTACCCTGGGGGTATTCTTCCCCAAGTAGCAAAGCGAGTGTATATAAATATGCTTGAAACATCATAATCCAGACAACATGGCAGTATATAGTGGGACAAATATACATATGTGGGCACTTCCATGTAAATTGCAAAGGTATTACGACTTTGATTACGTTTACTTTATATTACATTACTTATAAACAATATATACTGTAATTTGATTTGAGAGGTGTCTGGTATGGGGACATACTGCTGGTTCACTGCTGGTGAGAATCAAATCATGTAGATTACAGAAATACTGTCTATGAAGATGTACCAATATTACCTGATGTCTGTGCTGCCTGCTCCGCAAACTCACTCAACTCCCGCACCTCCACCTCCATCACGATATCTTCAATTGATGGGTCCAGCTCCTGCAGGAAGTGTAGGATGTCCTCCTTGATGTCTGCATGCTGAACAATCATACCCATTGCATCTTCCATGGACTCATGTTCAAAACAAAACACCATACATTCCCACCGAACACGTACCAGTGAATCAGGAAACAGTTCATTCAGTAGAGTCTTTACAGTTTCAATGTCAATATCGGTCGGTTGAGGAATATTTTCATGTTTGGCCTTCCAGCATGATTCACAAACAGCTTTTCCAGAGGGGAGATTGATGATAATCGTACTGTTAACTGTTCTGTTATCTCAAAAAAAGAAGAAAAACAAACACATTCATAGGCTTAAATGACACCATAAGTAAACTATTATCACAGCTACCTTCACCTTCTAGCATACATCTGCCCAGCATGTATCAAACACTCACATCACAATGAAATCCCTGGCATTCCTCAGAATATCTCCACTTTAGGATTGGAACAAGCGACACAGAATGAAGGTCATACATTTCTACTTGATAACTATATATCCGAAACCGTCCATGAAAGATATGAAAGTCCATGATTGATTTACTGAAAAGGCATAGACATGTTCAGTCATACCTTGATGAAGTTCTTTTGTACGAATTTCCCCGGCTGAAATGGATGTTTCTGCCCTGCTGTTGCCACTCATTCCAGTTTTCGTTACACTACCTACGAAATAAAGCAAAGGTAAGACACAGTTTACAGATCTTATTTGTAAATATCCAAGTTTGACAGATTCTACAGTTTCATTCATGACCAAATACTAGGATTACATTCACTCTGGTAGTCATTTGGAAGTATGTGAATACGTCACACTGAAAGGTGTGGAGAAACTTGGGTGAAGGTAACTTGTCTGGTCATCCAGTATATAGGAGATGGCTGCCCACATCATCACAATACCAACACCAAATCTGTCCACTTCCTGTATGCAGTTTCGTGCATAACGTTCCTCGCGACGCCTGTAAACACGATTTATACCATCCTCACGGGAAAGCATAAAACGTGACTCGTCACAGCCGACGATGCAGATCCATCAAAAAGGTTCATCACTCTCTGGGCTAATACCCTACGGAATCCTTGTATTGCCGTAGTTGCAGAGGTGGCCGTGGTTGTTTTTCCACGTTCGTGGCATAGCCGTATAAATCTGTCCTGTGCTCCAGTAGTGATACGTGGTCAACCGGATCAGGGAAGGTCACATGTTGACCCGTGTGTCTGATAACATTTCCACTGTCTTGTAATTGTGCTACGTGAAAAAAACCTGGCTACAGGTAAAGATGATTCACCTGTTTGCAGTTGGCCGATGGCGTTGTTGCGTGGGGCTTCTGTCAGTCATGGCCCTTTCGCTGTTCACTTGCTGTTTGATTGTGATAGCATAACAATGAAATCCAAACGTTTTCATAGACAAACAAGTACATGCCATGTTGGTGTGTTTTGGCGCCAAGCTCTCAAGCCATTGTGTTTTTGCGATTTTTCAATCTTTCCACACAAATCAATCCCGATCTAAGCAGAAATTACCAATTCAAATGTTACATTAAGTTTGTATGGATATCAGAAACACTCTGTCAGATTGTTATGATTTAACTACTTTTGCGTTTCATTTTTGGCAGAGCATATATCAGCTCTATCTACTCACTGGCAACACCGGAGTTAGCCAATGCATGTCACCTTTATTCCCGTCCTGTCAACGCTAAACTTGGTCAACAAAGATGTCAAGACAGTTACGTAAGCCATGATTTGAGATCAGTTACTGGTAGTTCTGATCCCTTGATCCATTATTTATTCTTATTTATGTGTGGCATTTTGTAAAAAAAAATATAAACTGTGTGTTTCATTATAATTGTTAATTGTTCAATTGTCCATTGTTCGTTTGTGGTTATTTACTAATTTCACATTTCTGTGTCCCTTGATTTCTGTGTTAACCTCTGTGTTTCAAGTTGGCGTTCACCTAATGCAATCGCATGTACAACCATCTAATTAACAATCTAGACAAACAAGAACGAACTGCTTTATACCAGTTGTGAGATGAGAAGCGTTCTCGTCCATCTGGTCATATGGGTGAGAGGCGTCCTCGTCCTTCTTGACATATGGATGAGAGGCGTCCTCGTCCTCCTGGGCATGTGGGACGTCACCATGCCTCTCCTGGGGATGGAAGTGTGGTGAGTCCACATCATCCTCATGTTTGGAGCAGAACAGAACGTCTTGATCCGTCGTCCCTCTGGGCAACGTTTCTGTGAACAAATGATGAAAAGAAACCATCTATCATGGCACTGAAGATGAGATGTATTCTGCGTGCCACTGACAACACAATCCAAGGACAGGGCAAGGACGTTTACTTGGATCCCAGCCGACTTTGAGATATTTGGAAACAAAGAAGCTGCATCATGGGTCAACTTAAGCACAGTAACCTCCAACCTCAGCCACGGCAAGACAAAGTCAGATACATTATCCTGCGTGAAACCAACCCATCAGTGTGCATCGTTATATCACTTCTTTTGTCATGCTGCACAGGTGTTCATCCGCACTCAGGACCAGAACATCAAGAACTAAAGATAATGCGTTTAAATGTTCACACACTTGATGGCACACTGAAACAGATGATGTTACAGAAACTGAAACATGGCTACACGCTAGAAATCAAAACGTGGATGTTTCTATTCCCGGATTTCAGCTACCCTTTAGACTCCAGGGTATTAGGTCCTATATAGACCATTGCCCAACTTCGTCATTCCGCAATAGTATCCTCCGAAACAGCTTCATTATTATTATAAAAGTAAATATATGTTACTCGCAAGCACATACTGATGGTTTTAACTTTGCCATAAATAATATTGAACTCGATAAATTATTCTCTAGTGATAATGTTAATACTATTGCAGTTGATGTCACGAAATGTATCATGAATGCATACGATCGGCTTATAGCTAACAAAATGGTTACAATTTAACCTTCTGGTCAACTTTGGGTAAACAATGAGAAATAGTATTCGCCTGCATAAAATCGCAAAGAGAAAACATCACTCATCTGATAACGTAAAATTTAAACCCATGATAAAGATATTTGTATCTGCTGTATTACATCTGCTGAGAAAACAAAAATGACAAAATACATTCCATAGAAGCAGAGTCGATTGTACGACTGACTATTTCGTGAGCATTTTTTATGAATCATTATCAAATGGTGATCATACTAGGTGTCATATGGGACAAATCAAAATAGGGAATCGGACATCATCGGTAGAAAGAGCATGCTCGATTGTACCTCAAAAGCTGTGATATGTGGACACTAAAAGCTTGAGCAACAGGACTATTGCTCGACATGAAGGGAAATTTGACGATTGGAAAGTTGAAGTCATCCCTCTTGTCATACAGTCCCGGGAGAGCATTGTTGTCACTCTGAATCTTTTTGCAAACATTTGAACGGATGAAGCAGACTGGCCTCTTTCTAGTTCAGGTGGGTAAGCTAATGTGAAATAGACAATACAATGATTAAAAACTCGAGTTACACCAACGGATGGTAAAAACTATATAAAAACACGGACTGGTCATTCCAATTTCACACGGTTATATTCAAGGGCAAATTGTACGATGAGACCAAAGAAATAACTTTATGTTTTAAATGATTTGAATGTTATTTGGAAAACCAATTCCAAAACTTTGTTATTATTTCTGATCTAAAGACTGTTATGACAGGAGTACCACAGGGTTCAGTCTTAGGGCCTTCACTTAAGGATTGCAATTGTATTTGTTGACGCTTATCAGCTGATGAAGACAGTAATTCCAGGATGTGTGTAGCTGTGAATGGTTATGTGTGGCTGTTTGTACTAGTCCAGACTAATGCCAAATTTCAGTGCTTTCCCACGGAGATACCATGCCGAAGTTTAACATGAATACCCCAGCATACTGATTCCTGGCACACCAGCCCTTGTGTTATCCCCTAACTGACGCGCTAGGCAGGGTAACAACAAGTACATGTGTCAAAGTCTTTGATATGAGGGGGGATCAATCCATCGACCTTCCGCTCTCCGGGCAGATGCTCTATCCACTACACCATGACATATTAGGAATAAACACTATGTATTTAGCTTGCTTAGGCTCGCGAAATACAATGTGCATTCTAAATACAGGATATTTACCACCTCAAACACACTCGCGTGATCACTTCATGATATTTGGTCCAATTGAGTGAAAAATAAACAGTGATTAAACATAATATCCTGACATCATACAATGTTTCCAATTTAAGGGCAAGTGATTTGCAGATTACTCGTTTCGTGCTTGATACTTAATTGAGTTGAAATAAGCCTGGATCAATACACACAACTTACATACACAAACAGACCAGCGTTTGACGACATAAAACAGCATCCATGTACACAAGTTGAATACAATAGTCTATTCTTACACATATATCAGTACAAAGACAAACATGATACACTCCAAGTATACAAGTACAATACAATACCTTGGTCTTTACTCACTGCTGACGCATCTACCTTCTTTATGACTGACTCCATCTCGATATCTGTCACTTGTGCATGGATTTCATGAAGAAACTTCAAAATTATATCTTTAATATGTTCATATCCTGTCATCATCTCCCAGGCTGTATCCTCTGTATCGTGTCCGAAGACAAACATCCACTGGTCGATCTGTATGCTGGTCAGGCGTCCATGAGTTGCAAACTGCTCCTTCAACGCAGGTAACTGTTGTCGGAATTTGTGATGGTTGATATAGGGGGAGTATTTGTCAGGTATAAGTGTACAGATCCAGGTTATTTCATGACACCACGAGGAGGTGTCATGGAAAGTAACCCTCAGCACACGTGCTCCCTTTCTTGCCAAGTAAAGCGTAACTGTGAAAACACATTAAGAAGAAAAAGTCAGTTAAACTTTCAGGATGTATATTATAAATATTAGCGGTGTATTAGTGATGTAAAGATTACGTTATTGAAAATAACAACATGATATTTGGTTATTTGTGTATCAAAACTAAATCATTGACAAAACCCAGACATGGTAACAAAAGACGGAGCGACACTCCCGAACGAAGGGGTGGTGTCACAACTCCATTAATAATGTCAATATCAGGTGTGACCACCATTTGCGTTGATAAATGCGAGGCAGCGATTGTGCATTGAAGACACCTGATGATTAAATACACCCTGAGAGATGTTCTTCTAAATGTCAACCAAAAGATTTGGCTAACTGAGTTATCGTTAATGCTGGTTCTGATCTGGTCTATCTCATCCCCACCGGATGTTGTGCCCCTCAACTTACTGCATACGGATCTGCAATAATTGGAATTGTCCAAGCTGTGAATGTTCCAGTTTGGTATAAATTCCTTAGATGCATCGACCGAATACGGTTGTCTTGTTGACGTGACGTCACACATGGACAAGCGGTCCGTGAGTAGTATACCAGGCTCATTCAGGACCGGACCTAGCAAATCCCCATGTGACGTCACAGGTCATGGGTCAACCGGAAGTGACGTCATAACCGGAAGTGACGTAGCATGAGGATTATGGGTAATAATGAAGACAGGAAATGACGTCATAACCGGAAGTGTATTCTGGGAATGAAGATGGAAGTGACGTCATAGCATTTCCGATTTAGTGTGTCTGACGGTTTGGTGAGAATGAAGTGATAAAATGGCGTCTCGTGTAAGAAATGACGTCTGTTGGTCAGATGTGTGTGAGACGGGAAAATGGCGGACATGGGTATCGAGAAAGTCGTTTAGTAATAGAGACGGACGTCTTACATGTTAAAAAATAATGACAGTCTCGCTTCATAATGGACGGACATGTATGTTGTATACCCCTAATAATAGTTTGATCACAAAAAATGGGCTTCGAGAGAGTTTCGTAGTAATAGAGACAGATGTCATACATGTTTAAAAAATGGCAGTCTCGACACATATAGTCGGACGTGTATATGCTAGTTTGATCATCGTGTATAAATTAACGAATGTATGTATAAAGATGGATGTATTTGTGTGGCTGTATTTGTGACGTTTATTAAATCGAACAATGTCTTTGCTAAATACATAATGTAATGGCGTGTTTCTTACATGCAAAATACATCGCATACAGGATGATCAAGACGAATCATCATGTTTTCAAGTTTTCTTTCGTTTTATTTGGTTGGTCCTTATAAGGACCTTTGAATGGAAGCGTATACCGGAGTTATACGTTTCTAAATACCATCTTCATATACGAGCAGTTAGGTGAATATCGCCTGTGTTCTGTGACGGGACTATCCGTACTTTTCCAACGATACAATTTAACACCGCAATGAAAGCACTGTACCCGATCGTTAGTTCCGGTGTAGAAGAATCCACTCATTGCCAGATCCAGGGGAGTTTGTTTCATCTGTATAGGCCATCGAAAAAATGTATCAAACCGATCTTGCATATACTTCATATTGGGTCTTGCAGGTATATCCAAAGGGTCAGTGTGGAAAAATAGATTGCAGTCACAGGAATCAAGGCCCGAGTCGTAATTGCTATCCGTATTAGACATCCTTTCAGCGCTGCAGTCAAACTAGGAATGAAGTTTTTAGCCAAAGCGTGGCAATAGAATACGTCAGCTACGTTTTAACCAATCAGCGATCAGCTAAGCTGCTGACGGGTCACTGTAGTCGACCCCTTGGAGCAGTTAATCCTTAACACTACTCAGGGATTAATGGCGAACGACCACCCCGCTATCTAACGGTAATGAAATGAAGATTTTAGCCAAGGCGCGGCAATAGAATACGTCAGCTACGTTTTAACCAATCAGCGATCAGCTAACCTGCTGACGGGTCACTGAAGTCGGACCCTTGGAGCAGTTAACCCTTAATACTACTCAGGGATTAATGGCGAACGGCCATCCCGCTATCTAACGGTCAACAAATCGGACATGTTATCTTAACACTGGTGTGAAATACTCAGTAAGGAGTTGAAATAAAACAAACACGCTCTTCCAAGGGAGCATAATCCCGCATCGGGGGTCCGTCCCAGTATCTTATCGTCATCGGATTAAGATACCTGGAGTACATCCCCGCTTTCAAAGTCTTAAGCCGATTAATAATCGCAATCCCACATCGGGTCCTTCCCAGCTTGCTTCTATACATTAAAGATACGCAAATCACATGCACGCTTTTAAACAAAGGTCTAGTAATCTTAAGACGAGTAATACTCATAGTATACTGACCATACCGGACAGACACAAAAGATAATAAAATTAATCCGAAAAGACCTTGGTGTTCTGCTAATCAACAACCGCGATAATATACAAAACGCTATCCAGTGGCGAATTCTTATCAACACTTTATGGGGACTTTGAAGAAGCCAATATGTGTGAATAACACATTTTAATAAAGCGTACTGCTGTATAAATAGGTACAATCCAGTTCTACAGTCATTCGTGCTTCATACATTAGTCAGAACTTCGTGAATACTCGGACAACTTTGCAAAGAACGGCCATTTAGGAAAAAAAGTTGCTATCTGTTCGGACTTCATCAATAGGTAAGTACTGTTTTCGTTGTATATTACATTGTCGTATGCCTTGTGTGTCATTTGTTCATTATTATCAAAATAACAAATAATATATTAAGTTCAACGCTTTTTATTCCAATACCAAGATGTTACAATAGCATCATTCACTGTACAATCGTCATGAAAACGTTTAAGAACAGTATTCATACTGTTATGTCTACATCTATAATACAAATAATACAGACAAAATAATCCACACGTGGTGCTGGTGTAACACTGGAATCGCCTATTAGAATACCTATACATTTTATAGGCATACAAATCCTTGAACATGTTTAACTCTTCGTAAAGGTGAGCATTATCTAAGGAAAAGGAATCGAAACATTCAACAACACCAGCTCTTGGTATGTAAAAGCCAGCCAATGTAATCCGCCATGACTGCTGTCGGCTGTGTTCACTATGTAAGCGGCTGGTAGTTGGTCTTGTAGATGTGTTTCTAGCAAGTAATCCCTAGGTAGCGTGCCCTTATACACCTTGTTAAGAACCATGTCATTCTTCACAAACTCGTTGATATCAGATGTATATAAAATAGCTATGTCATTATAACGTTCCTGAATGAATCTATTTCTATGACATTATCGTATTCTTGATAACATACTAAAGTCAGTGGCTGCGCTAAGGGTTCAGAAAAAAATATCTCAATTCCAACCTTTCCACTGTGTTTCAAATAACTATGACCTTCGTCGGCTCCCAAATCGTGAGAAAAGTCTATAACATACAGCGCAAATCCACCTTTAAACTGCTCTGGTGTTATGCTGTGTCCTGCATTTCTCCACAACCCACCCGAGTTACGGAATAGTTCCAAGTAGGTTTCGTAAAGTCTGCTGCTGTCAGCGCCGTAGTTCACCTCTAGTGTTTTGCCGTGAACATGCTGACCGTTTAGTTTCACTTTCAATGAAGTCAGATTAAAATTGTCAAAATTATACGGGTTCTTGCTAGCTGTACCGGCGAATGCGCTGTTTTCTACGAGTCCAATCACTATTCGCTTCGGCAAATCACCAGCTACTAAATGCTCGCTGTGGTAATCTCTAACACCGGCCGATATGTCGTGCGCTGTTGTCTTAACGCGGCTAATCGGGTATTTAACGGTAGTGGCTTTCTGCAGTGTCTTTATATGTAATTCGCGAATTTCTGGTGATATTTCAACTTGTCTGACGTAAAATTCGGCCCGTGATATTTTTCCTCTATAGGCTCGACCATCCTCCGGGTGCTTTAACCAAAACGCATTCGAACTCCGCACAAGCTCTAATTTTATGGGGACGCCATCTATCAAATATCTTGGTTGTAAAAATATATTGCAGTGGAGCCGCCCTACTAATTCCACTTCATTTGTAGGTACTGTTAGATGCACTCGTTGTTTCATGCCAGAGTTACATCTCTCCTGTGTCATGTTCACATCGTTCATTTTATTAGCTGTGTCGGTATACCACCCTTCGCATTTCATGAAACTACCCATTGATTCTTTATTGTAAGAGAGTAAATTTTCAATGTAGGATCTGTACGGATAGGTTCCTAGAGACGGCGTTATTTTAACTTGGTTTTGACCCATGTGAACTCTTACTTCGCGGAATAAACTGTGTAAAATATTGATCACGGGCCCGACGCAGTCTGGGGGTGATGCGTTATTGGATCCATGGGCTCTTTCGTGTGTATCCGAACCGTCAGATATTAGTTATTTTAAAGGTCACTCGTAAATAACATTGCGCTAAATCTATGTAACTGTTCACAGGGTTTTGTATATCGAATCGGATGGGGCCATCACCTACAACGGTTGTGGTAGGACTGTATCGTACCCACTGACTGGCTGTCATGGACGTGACGACTCCCGGCACAGAAAATAAATCTAATTCCGACTTGGTACATTCGTAGGCCTCTGAACGGATCATAGTCTTTTTCTCTTGGTCTTTCGTTTTCTCTTTAATGGAGTAGGTTGTATTGCTCTCTCGGCAGTTTGAACACTTTCTGACAAAAATTCCCCTGCTCGCCTTTTTAAACTTCTTTTTGGGCTAACACCATCTTCTACTACATCCTGGATCACGTGAGATAATTTTCTAGCTCCTGTTTTCAGAGCATGTCTACCTATCGATTTCAGCATGGGAAGGGCCACTCTCCCCAATGCTCCTAAAATATTACCCAAACCACCCCCTCCTTGGTAGTATCGGCCTCTATACACGGGTATGTCCCCACCTATCTGCATTCGAGAGCGCCTTCGTCTACGATGTTGACGTAACATTATGCTCGTTTCTTTTTAAAATGTAGTATCACCACCGATCTACCGCTTTGAAATGATACGGGTTCACCTGCGTCATCTCTTATAT